CTAGAATATTAAGTTAGTCATTTGGGAACCAGAGCTGGCCTAGCCCCATCCCTTGCTCATAGAGGACAGATGTTTTATTTCACAGCCAGAGGGAACTTGTGGGAGGTTGCCACACCCATAATGCCAAAAGTCAACCTCTGTACCCCATAATATGGGTTACCTAACATTATACATCACACACAACATTACATATAATGTTACACATATATATGAAAAGTTTCAAATGCCCTCAGAAGCTAGTATCTGGGTTTCTTCTTTTAAAACTCTTGTCAGAAAGACCCCGATTCCTGTGTCAAATGAGGTACTCTCTACCACCCTGAACTCAGTGCTGCATGTGCTGAAGAGGCATGACCATACTCTCTAGAGCTCAGATTCCTGGCAATATTCAGATCGTGTAGGCTTAGGGTAGATGGTCATTTTATATGAAAGGCCTTCAGTTCTTTGTGAGATGTCTTGGGGGGAAGGATACTACATTACCAAGCAGGTGCATGCTGATGCTGGTAACTCTGGCTTTTCTCCCTGGCCCTCTGCAGGAGTGGATGACTGCATTATCTCTTGTAGCATCTTTAATTCTTTTCCTCCCCTTTCTGTATTTCCTCAGTATTGGAGGAAGTACCATATGGTATAGGCAGCTTAACTTGCTTCTTCTGTCTTTCTTTTTTTTTGAGTTAGAGTCTCACTCTGTTGCCCAGACTGGAGTGCAGTGGCCACTCCCAGCCACCGCAGCCTTGACCTGCTGGGCTCCGGCGATCCTTCTGCCTCAGCCTTCTGAGTAGCCGGAATTACAAGCATGCGCTACCACACCTGACTGATTTTTTGACTTATTGTAGAGATGAGGTCTCGCTGCCCGGGTGGGTCTCGAATCCGCGGGCTCAGGCAATCCACTCACCTCAGCCTCCCAAAGGGGTGGGATTACAGGCTGAGCCACCAAGCCTGGCTTTTCTTTTTTTTTTTTTTTTTAAAGACAGGGTCTCATGGTGCCCAGACTGGTCTTAAACTCCTGGGCTCAAGCAATCTCCTGCCTTGGTTTCCCAAAGTGCTGGGATTAGAGGCTGAGCTACCATGTCCAGCCAACTTGTTTCTTTTAAACCGTGTTCTTCTGGGCGCTGTGGCTCAAGCCTGTAATCCCAGCATTTTGAGAGGCTGAGGTGAGAGGATTGCCTGAGCCCAGGGGTTCGAGACCAGTCTAGACAACTTGGTGAGACTCGTCTCTACAATATATAAAAAAAAAAAATGAGCGAGCGTGATAGCTCACGCCTGTAGTTTCAGCTCCTTGGAAGGATGAGGCAGAAGGATTGCCAGAGTCCAGCAGGTTGATGCTAGGGTAGCTATGAGCAAGCCACTGCACTCCAGCCTGGGCAACAGAGTGAGACTCTGACTCAAAAAATAATAATAATAATAATAATAAATAAATAAATAGTGTTCCTATCCATTAAGGAAATGTACTTTGGTATGCTTTTATTTTAGAGAAAATGTACTATTGTTCATATAATACTTTTTATAAAAAAAAAATTTTTGAATGACTCATTTAATCAGTAAACATTGATGGGTGGCTTACAGATATGACTCAGATATGTGACTTATAACTAGAATTCAAGTGTCCTGCATTAAGACCTCCATCTCAAAGGAGATTCAGTGGAATGAAGAAATTCCTTTGGCCCTATGAATGATGGAAGGTTCCATGGAGTCTGATATATTTGAGCTGGGTCTTGAAAAGTAGATAGCAGAGAGATGTTTAAGAAGGAGAGAATGAATAACAGAGATATTTCAAAAAATGGAGTAGAATGTATACAAAATAGAAAAGCATGAGGCGTTTGGAGCACAATTTGGCCTTTAAAAAAAAAAAAACCTAAATGGTGTACAGTGGTACAAGAAATAGTGGAGGCTAAGGAATATCCCTGTACCTGGTGGTGGTCATATATTATTCTTCTGGCTCATTTTGGTTTTGTAACTGAGTTATTGTGGGCCTTCCATCTATAAAAATGTAATCATATCATCTCATTTCACCTTAAATGTCTATATAGATTTGGCTGCCTTTTTGATGTTTTGGGGCTGGGGAGGACATAATTATGGAGAGATTGTGATCGCTGTTACTCTTATCAAACAAAATTTCTATGTAAAGATAGTTGCACTATCACTTGCCCAGGATTTCCTGACTTTTAACAGCAGCATAAAGCCTACGGCTATCTGCAAACCCTAGCCTGCCATTTGGGTTTCCACAAAATAATGATGATAATAATTATAGTGACAGACTAACGGAATTCCGAATACCAACACTGTTACCCTTACTGAGTGGACAAGGCAGCTTTGGGTTTTTTGAGCACAGTCTCAAGGCTTTACGTGTCTGTATTACAATTTTCACTCTAATGTTAAAGTGGTCAGTGCCAGTTTATTGTTTTCTACCTCCTATGAGGCCACAGGTGAGGCCACACCAGGAGATACATAACCACAGTAGGAAATAAGCTAGAGATTAAACCCAAGGGAGAAGCTCATGGAGGTCCCAGAGATGTTACACCATCGATTTAACAACTGCTTTGAAAGGAAAAGGTAACAACGCTACCACGTGAAATGCCCTATCTGCTGTCAGAAGCAGCGCATTTTCCAAAGTATTGCAAATGAAAATAAAAGTCTGTTACAGATCAAGAAAAATGGTAAACTGTACTTGCATCCTAGGGATGGGATCAGAGCCACAGGCTAGACTAGACTAGATAGACTCAGATACGTGACTTACAACTAGAATCCAGGTGTCCTACATTAAGACCGCCACCACAAAGGAGATTCCGTGGAATGAAGGAGTTCCTCCGACCCTGTGAATCCTGGAAGGTTCTGTGAAGTCTGAGATATTTAGTCACAGACCAAACTCTATGACCCAGAAAATAGAAGTAAACAAACCAGGCCAAGTGTCCAGGCTGGAGAGAGAGATGAAGCAAGAGTTGATTGAGTGCATTCTGGGCAGAGATTGAAATTGGATCACCCTTCAAGGATTGTGTAGAGCAGAATATCCCCTGCCAAGAGCAGTTAGATGAGGACACTGTGGCTGAAGTTCCTCGCCATGCGGGATGGTGAGTGGGAAGCCCTGGCAGGCTTTGTCTTTGTCCAGGTTTGGAGGAAGCATGCTCTGTGGCCCTTCACTGAGTGGTCAGGTAAGGGCAGCAGGATTGCTGAGGTGGGTGGTCTGGCCGTCTGTGGCATCTTCGCAGGTGCGGCAGCTGTTCGTGGTCTGTGGCCTTATACAAGACTGCAGTCTTATACAGTGTTGCTTCTTTTCTTTGTTAATCCCACACTAAATCTCTGATATTACTGGGGAGCGATATTCTTTTGGCTACACCTACACTTATATGCAGCCTGATTCTAAAGGCATATTATTTTTGTGGAACTTTGAAAGAAATCAAATTCATGGCATCTGTGGTTTATCTGTGCTTGATGTTTTTTTAAAAAGCAATCCAAGGCCAGGCATGATGGTTCATGCCTGTAATCCCAGGACTTTGGGAGTCTGAGGCGAGAGGAATACTTGAGCCCGGGAGTTCCAGACCAGCCTAGGCAACATAGTGAGGCCTCATCGCTACAAAAAAAAAAAAATTTGCTGGGTTTGGCACATGGCTGTAGTTCCAGTTACTTGGGAAGCTGAGGTGGAAGGATCACCTAAACCCAAGAAGTTGGGGCTGTGGTGTGCCGTGATTGTACCACTACCCTCCAGCCTGGAAAACAAAGTGAGACCTCAGCTCTCTCTCTGTATAGCAATTCACAACCATGTACATTGAAAAAATTGACATTGGCCAAGCTCAGTGGCTCAGCCTGTAATCCCAACACTTTGGGAGGCTGAGGCGAGTGAATTGTCTGAGCCAATGGGTTCAAGACCAGCCCGGGCAACTTGGCAAGACTTCATCTCTACAATAAAATAAAAAGTAGCCGGGCATGGTAGCATGCATCTGTAATTCCGGCTACTTGGAAGACTGATGCAGAAGGATCGCTGGAGCCCAGCAGGTCAACACTGGGGTGGCCATGAGCGTGCCACTGCCCTCCAGCCTGGGAGATGGAGTGAGACTCCAACTCAAAAAAAAAATAACACTGATATTGTGGACACAATAATACTGTGTAATAAGGGACTTGTGTCTTATTTGTCTATGGGGTAAATAGACTTAGCACAATACATATTTGGTACTCAGTAGATGCTTAATTAATTTTGATTCACTTAACAGGGTATTTGTCTTATTTAAAGCATTATTTTTAAACATGATTTGTGCATGCCATTTGTTCTAAAATCTGTAAGTCATGTGGTTATAAATAGAAAATTAATAATTATTTTAATGGAACCATTTAGAAATTAATTAAGCCTAATATATCTAATGCGCTAGCTGACATTTTGATATTACAAACCCCATAAGCTTTCATTTAAATCTCCAAATCCACAAAATGTTCTTCACGTCCATGGACAAAGGACTTAGAATTGGTCATCAGAAGTTCAACGTGTACAGTGAAAAGCATAAACTCATCAACCAAATGGGGAACAGACACAATGCAGATATATTAGGAAAGTATGTTTCTCTCTCTTTTTTTTTTTTGAAACGCACAGAGCAAAAAAATTTTGTGAAATTTTGTGACTGTGTCGGCCGATTTTTAAAATGCACACATTGCAATAGCACACAAAGTAACTTCTTTCTGATTCAATTTCATAAATTGCTACATGAGGAAGCACCCTCTAGTAGATAATACTCAGAAATCAGCACTTAATATGGCAGTAATGGTTATTGCTGTCATTCTTTACATCTTTAAAAATAATTAAGCATTACTGCACAGGCATTATAAAGTTCCCCTATCACCATTAAGAGGATATTTGAGGTTTGATGTAATTTAGCAAATTACATTATACAGTAGTTAAGGTTTTTATGTAGTGAAGTAAAATGCGCCGTAGTTAAGCACACTTACCGTATAATGCATTGTACAGAGTTACACGTTCCAGCTGCTGCCAGCTTTGTTCCAGTGTCATTATTGCTTTGCAGGCTGACGTTCCTCAGGGAGTGATTCGAGTGCAAGCTCCCCATCTTTCGAAAGTTTCCATGGCAATACAGCTAACTGAAGAACTAAAAGCCAGTGATGTACTTGCCAGGTTTCTCAGCCAAGAAAGGTAGAAGCCTGTTTTGTGTTAATTATTCCGTGGTATAACTCACTTGCTTCTCTCTCTCTCTCTCTCTCTCTCTTTAAACCTATGGGATGATATGAAGTTCTTAAAATTTTTGTCTTCCCGGCAGACAACAAGAACAGACCTAACAATTAGACTGTTGGAGTGAGTTAGGTTCAGTGGCTGTAGTGCGTGCTCATGTGGAGGTTCATTCAAGCAGGATGTCTGAGCATTCCTTCACTGAGCTTGTGATGGGCTTGGCAAGTGAGGCCACTGGATATTCTTTCCAGAATATGTTGATTGGAGGTTAATGACTGTTTGTAGGCTATAAGGAAATTACTCATTAGGATGCAGTGTGACTAAAACAAAGACACAACTTTTTCGATGACATAATGAATTTTTAAACGCTCAAATTTAAAAACGAAAAACCATAAAGAATTGAGAGAGCACAACTAGTCCCTTGAGCTCAGAAGTCCCCAGGGGAGAACGTACTGTCCTCATTAAGGACAACAAGCCTTCATCTCTACTTGGGGGCCAACGGGGCAGGGAGAGTCCTTTGAAAGCTGTTGGCATTCCTCCCACAGTATTAGAGCCTGCACTTCCAGAACATTTTGTAATGCCTTTTCTTGAATTTTAGCGGTTCTAACAAGTATATTGTTCTGTCTTAACCTTTGAGTTCTTATTTTTAGCTAAAGTCATGTTTTCATATCCTCTGCCCACATTTTCTCTCATCGAAATAAATGAATCTACATTTTTTAAGAGAGTAAAATCCAGGGCATTGGCATCTTAGTTTATGAATACTCTGTTTTGGTCTTTTGATAAATGTAATCTCCTTATTCTAACAGGGGTTTCAATCAAGCTTTCTGCCAAAGCCTCTCCAATTTTAATGCAGTACAAGTATTTAATATGTTTCTGCTCTGTTTAAGGCCCTCTCTAGGTACTGGAAGGGGGGAGGGAATAAACAAATTGTAAAGTACCTCTCCTCTGGGTTTATAAATTGGGAGATGGAATGAATCTGTGCGCTAACAGATCGTGATGAAATAGAAGAGGAGATACTCATGCGTAATATCTGGGCTTTCAGTAAACCAGCATAAACTTCCCTTGCAACAATACTCTGGAGTAAGCACTGTTATTACTTCTGTCTTACTGACATGAAAACTGAGATTTGCAAGGTCAAACATTTTTTGTAGGTGTTGGAGTTGGAATTCTACATCTGTGGTTGCTATCTCCAAAGGTGTCCCTCTCCACGCTGGCTAAAGGGTCTAGAGAATCACAGATCTGGGAACCACGTGCAGAACCTGAGAGGGGATAGATTTCTTGGAATTTGGTCCTGGGAGCAGGTGGTCTTTCTCTGATGGCTTCTGTTCCTTAAAGGGTCTCTCTCGGCTTCAGAGAAGTCAGTCGACCTCTCTCCTACTCCCTGGGCTGACTTAGTAGATTCTGACTTCTGGCATTCTTCCCACCAGGGATGCTGTGCCATCCTCTCCCAGAATGTGTACCTCCAGATCTGGCCAGACTTTAGATCTAAGCAGTTCTTCCAGGCTAGACACAGTTAACTTACACAACATTTACTTTCGGGACCTGAGTGCACCCTTTAGTCTTCTCGTGTGTGCCTCTACTGCCTGATAACGTAAGATGCGACTGTGAAGTTGTACCATATATCCACTGTGGCCTTAATATTTAGGGTGTTGCATGAAACAGCAGGCATATTGTTACAGAAAGCACCAGCTTTATGACAACCGCCCTTCACATATTGGATTTTAGATAAATAAGCACTTACTGCCCCCGGAGCAGGATCCCTACTCCAGCCTCTCGTTTCTCTTATCCTCTTCCACCTAGAGAGAAATCTGGCAAGCTTCTCCCCCCATTTACCTCTCTCGCCTCCCCAATTTAGTCTCAAATTCCTTATTTATAAGAGTGGACCATAAGAGGACGTACCTGATAGTCTCATGATCGCTGTTCAGGAAAATGACTTATGATGGACAAAGCACTGTATTCCTGGGCCACATAGCAAGTGAAATCCTCAATATATATATATTTTTTTCTTCTACCACATTCTTGTGCTTCTCCCATCTGTATTCCACCTCCGTTGGGGCAGCTGGGACCCCTCCTTCTTCCATTTTTTTTTTTTTTTTTTTGAGCTGGAGTCTCACTGGGTCGCCCAGACTGCTGGGCTCCGGCGATCCTTCCACCTCAGCCTTCCCAGTAGCCGGAATTACAGGCATATGCTACCACACCTGGCTGATTTTTTGATTTATTATAGAGATGAGGTCTCACTGCCCAGGCGGATCTCAAACCTGCGGGTTCAGGCAATCCACTCACCTCAGCCTCCCAAAGGCACGGGGATTACAGGCTGAGCCACCGAGCCCGGCTCTTTCTTCCATTTTTACCCCCCCCAACATCTCAACTGAAACCAGTGAACACATGAGTAAAATCCAATCTATGTCCAATAAATTACGCGTTCATTCACCAATCTTTTATAGAGGGTTATTGCCTTTTTAAAAATTATTAATTTGTTCATGAGGTTTATGGGAAAGCCTGCATAAGCCAGGAAATCTAGCTCAGATTTTTTTTAAAATGTGGAACAAGAACATAGACCTTTGAGAAGCCATCTGAGAGCAATGTCCGACTACATGTTGTTTGTTTTAAATCAAGCCTCTCGAAATATTCAACATGGTTTTCACAGAAACTGACTTTTTATACTCGTGTTGATGGCATTATGGTTGTGCTATAAAATAAAAATAATCGATTAAATTATTTCACTGGAAAACGAAACCTACCCCTAGTGTTGACTCTTGGTCAGGAAGCAGCAGGGCGTGTGGGACTTGAGTGTGAGTTTACGTGCAGCCCAGAGCATCCAGTGCTGGGGACACAGGTGGGGGATACGGGGACAACCATGGGAGCCACTCCATGATGGGTTAGGAAAGCGGCCACTGGACCATATTTTTTCCTAACAGCTTGAATATGAGTCGCACCTGGTTTTTGCCTCTGATTTCCAGCGTGTGTCTTCAGAGCCTTCTCTCCGTGGTTCACAAACCTTTGCATGCATCAGAATCCACTACAGAACCTTTTCAAAGCAGATCCTTGGACTTCCTTCCTAGACCCACTAAACCAGAGTTTCTGGAACTCTGGATCTGAATTTTTAGCAGGTTTTGCAGGTCATCCTTTTGCAGGAAGATCGGAAACCCACTGAATTTTACCAGTTTTTATGTTTGAACCTAATGTTCTCGGAGAGTTTATTCTTTGAAGAGTGTCAGTCTGCAAACACAGCCTGCGTGGTAGAGTTGTCTTGGAGATGACATGGTTTGCTTCTGCTCAGAGTGTCTGTGCCTCTCTTGTTGCAAAGGCCAACACGGGAGCGTGTCTTGTTCTTCACGTACACCTTGGATACGGTTGGAGGTGTCCGCATAGCACCCTCACGAAAAACACTTACTGAATAAACACGATGCGAGAACCAAGGTGGAGGCATTTCTTTTTTATAGTTTTCCGAGGACTATTTTGGTCCCCATGCAAAGTAGATAGTCGCATTAATAATTTGATTGGCAGCTAAAATGTGAACATTAACTTTCCTTTTTAATTTTACAAATTTAGATACTGATTTATTATTTTGCCTTCAGATGTATGATTCCATTTGTTTATTTTAATTTACAGGTGTGACACTTTTATTACCTATTCGGCACATTTAACAGATGGGAAAATACAAATGTGTAGATAATTACAGTGTGTCTAAGTTATGAATTTTCCATACCAGCCAGAATTCCCCAAGCACATTAACGTGATTTACTTGCAAGCTGTTTGATGATACGACTAATCAGTTTGTTTCGTCCCTTATAGTGGGGTTGTCCAGACTCTGAAGAAAGGGGAAGTTTTTTTGTATGAAATTGGAGGAAATATTGGTAAGCATGTTTTTTTAATACTTTGCATTCCATATGCTGATTTGACATTGCCAGCAGTTACTGTTTATATCTTTGGAGGATAAAAGGGAAATTAGTTATAAAATATAACATGCTTTTAGATGCTGAATATTGTGGATTTGTTTAATGGTCTGACCTTTCTCTTCAGGCTTTATGTGACCCCCTTCTGTACAAATGCCCATCTATGTTCAATCTTGGCAAAGGCAACTTCCCAATATAATAGGAAAAACTTCTAGAAGGGTTAATAATGCAAGTTTTTCAAGGTTTCTTTCTCTTTTATACTCTCATGTCATAATAAAGGAAATTTCTGAGCTTATGTAAGATAACACTGTTATTGCATAGTACTTGATATTTTTAATAAAGGCAGATTTTTCCCATAGTCTGTTTCCTACTAACGTTTATACACACACACACAAACACACACACACACACACACACACACACACACACACACACATAGTTTAGAAAATAGAAATAGAAACAGTGAAGTGATTTTCACCATGTTCTATATTTTATTTTGCTCTTTTGTAATTATCAGGGGGTCTTACTCATCTCTTTTTTTTTAATTAAAAATAAACCTTTTCTCTTTTTTTTTTTTTTTTTGGCTCTCTAATATGGTAAGGTTAAAATTGTTAAGAAATAGGCCAGGCGTGGTGGCTCACACCTCTAATCCCAGCACTTTGGGAGGCCAAGGCGAGAGGATTGTTTGAGCCCAGGATTTGAGAGCAGCCCAGGCAACCATAGTGAGACTTCATCTTGACAAAAAATTTTAAAAATTAGCTAGGCATGGTGGCACATGCCTGTAGTCCCAGCTACATGAGAGGCTGTGGCAGAAGAATCACCTTGGTCCAGGAGGTTGAGGCTGCAATGAGCCATGATCATGCCACTGTATTCCAGCCTGAGCAATAGAGTGAGACCCTCACTAAAAAAAAAAAAAAAAATAGATAAAAATAAAAAGCAAGTGAAGTAATGTTAAATTAAAAATAGTAATTGAAAATAATTGAAAAATACGTTTTGTGGGATTTTTCTTTTCCTGGGACTTAAAACTGTTAGTACATATTGAAGGTTGAATACAGAAATGTGAAGACGCATTCTTAAAATGTAAATAAACCATAACAGCACTAGAATTGTTAATTCCATTAGTAAAGATTTCCTAAATATTCATGTATTTAATTTTTTTATTTTAGACCTTAGGAATTATGTATAGTTTCTTTAATGGATTCCAAATGGTTGTCACTCTTAATGATAGTGAATAAGCTTTAAGGAACTATTTAAAAGCACATCACATAGAGTATTTTCAGCTTCCTAAATTAATTTGAAATCCATTCATTTAGAGAAAAACTACCAAATTGACTTTCCAATATTTTGGCCGATTCTTACAGTATTATGAGAAATAGGAAAGAATGTGAAGTAAGAGACTTGTAAGAGTTAAGTCATTGAGCTTAAGTTTAAAACTGCATCCCAGTCTGCCCACTGTATTTAACTGATAAAACATCTCTTTAACAGGGGAACGTTGCCTCGAGGATGACACTTACATGAAGGACTTGTATCAGCTCAACCCAAATGCCGAGTGGGTTATTAAGTCAAAGCCATTGTAGAAGACTTGACAAGCCATGGATAGCCACGAGGACCTCCCTGATAATTCTTGCTGAGTCAAGAGTGTACATAAAAGACATGGCCGGACTCTTACGATTCAGCTGTACCCAGCTATTAAAAAGTGACACTCTCAAGCCTTAAAAAGTAGATTTGTGCCGCTGCCAGAATTATGCTAATTATTATTAATGTTATTTTTAGAAAACAATTATTTCTGGAGTGTAAGGAAAGAGGCTTAATTAGTGTATGAGCTATTTTCATGTGCTCTGTGAAATGTGTCCAGATGTGACATCTCTTTTTTATTATGAGAATTTATTTTCTTCCCACTCACTTTTTTCCTCCTACAATCATATATACGATAATACACACTTTCTCACCTTTATTCCCTCCTCACATCTGCCTTCTCCCAATTAGGTTTGCTTTTTGACCAAGAACATAAATACCAGGTATGGCAAGTTGTGAAGACAGCATATATTAAAACATACCTAATTCCACAGTATTCCTGTCATTACAGGATGTTAGTATTCATCTCTGTGAACCATTTGTTCAAATACTAACATTCTACTTCTTCCTGCTGTATCACATGAGGTGATTTGCATTTTTCAGTTCATCTGACATATGTGCATAGAACTGTATCCGCCATCAAGAAAATAAGACTGTCAGAAGCTGCTAGTTATTACTGAACCATTAAATACTTATATACTAAGAATAAATAAACTATACCCATGTGAAATAACCGGATTATGGATAATGAGAGAGGAAACCAAATCATTTTATGTATGCTGTAGTCTTCCAAATGGAATTTAAAGTGTCATAGCTGACTCTACCTGTTGTCCTATTACCATCATAAATATGCATGATAGTATAATTCACTGATGGTTGAAGAATGTATTCTACTTAAAGAGGGATTTTTTTGTTTTTACTCCTGAATAAGTCTACTGGAAGAGTTATTCTTCCAGGTATAACACAGTCGTGTGAATGAGCTTTTGTTTGTGTACTCATTTTAAATAATCAGTTTATTAAAATGTTGAAGAACGTTAATACTATTCCCAGGGATTTTACTGCACCAACCATATTGTGACAAGAGATGTAAATAAGAGAAATGAAGTCAGAGAGATGTTAAATACTTTATGAGTCTAGAGCATAGTAAATAAAAGGTGATGTAAATGAATATGCACAATCTGTGTTTATGATACTTTTAGTAGTACTTTAGGAAAAACTACACATTCTCAGAAGCTCTTGATGCCACTCTAGTTAGGGGAGAAAATGCTGTTGATGAGAACAGTTGTAGATTTTTAGCATATAATTCCAAGAACAGCCTGTGGATGTGATTACTTAATTTTGTGGTGATTCGTGCCATTGCTTTATTTAAAGAGAAATTTTGTAATTAAATGCCTTTTTCTAAATTATCTTCTCTTGGAATCATTACTTGTCATCCTGTGTGTCTACTTTTTTGCTTTTTCTTTTCTTTGTATTGATAATTCTTTTTAGTTGACACAGGGACTGTTTTTTGGTAAGTCACCTCTTTTATTTCTGCTATTGTTTCTGTCCTTTTTAAGGTGGGAAGATGTGGGGTACGTGAACTTGTTTCCTTCCTTGGTTTTTTCTTTATTGCAAATTTCTATTCTTTAGGACTTTCAGAACACAGTTTATTCTATTTCTGATTTTGATAATGTGTATTCATTTCTCAGTAAGCAAAGTGATGCTTTATTAATGGTCTGATGAAAACGATATGAAAGAGAAATCAAGTCCTTAGCACATTTTGGGAGTGCACAACTTCAAAAGTACACAGCAGCGACTATGATGGTTTAAGTAAAAGGTTTTTGTAAAGCACATACCAACTAATTTCCACCACATTTACTAACTACCTGAAAGGGGAAGGGAGTGAATCACAATAGTTTGTTGATCATGAAAAATTACCAGATCTTGGTAAAGAAAAATGAAAATGCCATGTTATTTTGAGCCCTAAGCACTTATGACCTAGATTCATTGACATTGAACTATATTGCATTTAAGTAACAACAACAAAATCTATACTTCTACAGAGGAAAAACTTGACAGCATAGATCCTCAAGTATAAATTTCCTGGTATTAACTCAAATGCTATTGTTGGGCACATTTTTTTTTCCCCCTGGTAAGTTTTAAATCTCAGTATTTGTTTTTTTGTGTGACAGAATAAAAACAAATATATTTGATCTGAGTCTCACATCTTGAGTCCTAAGGCAGTTGCTGGCGAAGGGTAAAATTGCTGGTCTTTCTAAAAGTGTTGCTCTGTGACTATTTTGGTGATGCTTCCTGTTTTCTGAAGGAGGGTGTAATTATTCTTTGCATTTACACAATCTTTGATTCATGCAGCCATACAAGTTGATATAAATTCCCTGCTAACACTCTTTGGGAAATGCTGTTTATTTTACTGACTTCATGGGCTTTTTCATTAGCGTCTTTCTTGGTTTTCATTAAACAGGTTTGCACTTTCCTGCTGATTGTCTTGGTTCCTCACCTGGTCATCGGTAGGTGGCAGTATTGGTCAGGGATTCCTTTGAATCTCGACTACAGGACTTTTTTTTTTCCCTCAAATGAATGCATTCATCGGTAAGTAGCTAAGACACAGTGCCAGGGTCTGCTTGGCAGTTAAGTAAGAACTCTGTGAACTTCTTGCTTTGGTTGCTGAGTCTGAAATTGTCAGTAATAATCTGAGTTTCTATGTTTCATCTATTTATCTGCTCTTATCCTTAAACCATTGAGTAGGAAGGGAGGGAGGACAGGAGATTTTTCTGAGCCAAAATTAAACTTTTGGCAATGTCTATTTCAAGCAGAAGGATTATGACAATAGACAAGGCAGTGAACCAGGAAAGTAAATGAAGGGATGTCTAAGATAAGAGTGCATAATGATCTTTGCCTTTTTTTTGGTGTATAGATGTTTTTTATTTTGGCTCGAGGGTTACGTGTACAGATTTGTGCCATGAATATATTCCATGATGGTGAGGTTTGGGCTTCTGTTGAACCTGTTACCCAAATAGTCAACATAGTACACAACAGGTAGATACTTCTTGATTCAACAAATATATATTGGGCACTTACATATGTGCCAGGCATGTGTCTACCCTTGAGATACCTCAGTGAACAAAATAACGAGAAGCCCTGATCTCATAGAGCTTACATTCTAGTGGAGGGAGATAATGAATGAATAACATGAAATAATCCAATTATATAATGGAAATAAACCCATTAAAAAGTAGGCAAAGGACACAAATATTTCTCCAAGGAAGACCCACAAGCGGCCAACAATAAAAAATGTTCAGTGTCACTAAGAGAAGTGCAAATCAAAATTACCAACGAGACACCATCTCACAATGGTCAGAACAGCTATTATTAAAAAGTCAAAAAGTGACACACGTCGGCAAGGTTGTGGAGAAAAGGGAATGCTCATACACTGTTGGTGAGAATGTAAACTAGTTCAACTCCTGTTGAAAGCAGTTTGGAGATTTCTGAAAGAGCTAAAGACAGATCTACCATTCGACCCAGCAATCCCACTACTGAATATATGCCCCAAGGAGCATACATTTTTCTACCAAAAAGACACTTGCACTCATAAGTTTACTGCAGCATCATTCACGATAGCAAAGACATGGAACCAGTGGAGGTGTTTATCAGCAGTGAACTGGATACATCCTATTTTGTACCAAATACTACGCAGCCATTAAAAAAACAAAGTCATGGCATTGGCAGCAACACGGATGTAGCTGGGAACCATGATTCGAAGTGAATTTTCACAGAAACAGCAAACTGAACACGTTCTCATTCATGTGGGTGCTAAACACGGGGCACATACAGGTACAAGGACAGGAACAACAGACACTGGACACTACTGAAGTTGGTGGGCGAAGGGGTATGAAAAAGGGATGCAAAGCTACCCACTGGTCACCATGCTCTCACCACAGGGGAAATGGAGACCGTTCATCAGAAACCTTGCCTTTACGCAATATACCTAAGTAACACACCTTCACATGTATTCGGATTCTAAAATAAAAAACAGTGACATTGTATGCTGAATGGTCGTTAGTGCAATGGAGACCAGAAAGATGAACAAGGTAAATGAGATGAAGGATTGATTGATGGAATCATTGCAGTATGCAACAAGGTGTCTCACGGAATCACTGAACGAATCCAAGTGAGAGAATTTCCATGTGAATGTCTGGAAGAAGCACATCCTAGCAAAGAAAGCCTCAAGAACGGGGGTCCAGAGAAGAAGCATGCCTTGCTGGCAAGGGTACCAGGGTGCCTGGAGAGGACCCAGGGCTGGTGAAAGGAGCAGATGAGGCCAGAGCAGTAACACCTGTGCAGGGGGTGCGGTCACAGAGGGCTTTGTATTAGGGTGAGTATAATTGTTCAGCTTACAGTTTATTGTTGAAATAAAGCACTGCTTATTGCTCAAGTCAGGACCGGCCTGAGAACGGAATCAGCACCCCCTGTTGGTGAGGGCAGTAGCTGTGGGGTGATGAGGTGCAGTCCGATTCTGGATATGTCTTTGAAAGCAGAGGCTGGGCTCGGTGACTCAGCTTGTCATCCCAGCACTTTGGGAGGCCGAAGCAAGAGGATTGCCTGAGCCCTCGAGTTTGAGACCAGCCCAGGCAACTTGGCGAGACCTTGTCTTTACAATAAATAGAAAAATTAGCCGGGTGTGGTGGCGTGTGCCTGTAGTTCTGGCTGCTTGGAAGGCTGAGGCGGAAGGATCAGAGGATCCCAGCAGGTTGACACTGGGATGGCTGTGAGCATACCACAGCACTCCAGCCGGGATGACGGAGTGAGACTCCCACTCAAAAAGAAGAAAGAGCCTATACAATTTCTGGTATAAGAGAAAGAATGCCTTTTTAATCAAAGATAAGCATGAGATTTTTTTTACTTGAGCCATTGGAAGGATGGAGTTTCCAGCAACATAGACAGAGAAGCAGAGGGTAGTCAGGCATTCTGAGGCTGAGAATTAAGGTGCTCAGTCATGGATGTATTGAATACGAAGGGCTGCTACATATCCAGTTGACAATTGTGTGAGCAGAAGACTGAGCCGGAGGTCTGGGCTGGAGTCACTGGCATGCATGTGGGCCTTTAACTGAAACCATGAGCTTGTGGGAGATCACCAAGGGAGTGATTATAGGTACAATGGATCAAATCACCAAGAGCTCAGCCCTGGAGCTGCCCGACATTTGGGACTGGGAAGAGAAGGACCCAGCGGACAGATGGAAAAGAAGCGACCTTGGAGATAACCGAGAGATTGTGGTGTGCCAGAAACCAAGTGAAGACGGAAGTGGCTACATCAGTGGCTACTTTGAGCTCCAATGAGCCAAATGCTAGGGATTGACCACTGGATTTATCTATGTGGAGGTCTTTGTTGACCTTGCTGAGCAATTTAGGTAAGGTGATAAGGATGGTAATGGTGGGGTTAAGAGAATGGAAAGAGAAGTAAAGACTGAATATGGACCGCACTTATAAGGAATTCTGCTGCTACCTAAGGGAACTAACAACAGGCACCAGCTAGCAGAAGCAGGAGGTGCTGAAAGAGGGCTTTAAATGCCGGGCAAAAGAGTTTCTGGAATTTACGCAGTTAGGCAACATTTTGAGAAGAGGTAACATGGATACACAAGTCGGACTACCTGGGTTAGCTAATGTGACCTGGACAAGTTACTCACCTGTGTCTCATTTTCTACTTGTGTAAAAATGATAGGAATATTTACTTCTTAGTGGCTTTGCTGGAATTAAATAATCCACGTAAAGATCTCAGCAGCATACTTGCCTGATAGTATTCCGTAAATGTGAATATTTTTATTAGTGGTTATTAAGATCAGTATTATTGGAGCTATACTATAAGAATAATCTCAAAATGTTCTACTGCTGTATTTTCTATTTTTTTCTTCAATATAGAGAAAAGATGTAACAGACCCATCAGTACAGATCACAACAAATAGGTGAGGGAATGGGGGAAGTGAGGGCAGCCCCTGTTTTAAGAATAACCAATCCCTCCTCCTTCTAGGTAATTCTGATATCATCTCCCATGAGCCTTCCTTTCTCCGAGTTAGGCAACAGTTTTTGGCTGTTTAAGGAATGTTCTTCTTTATCTCATTTAGGATTAGTGGTTCTAATCTATACTACCTTCACCTGGAAATCAGTGGTAGTAACTCTTCCTCAAAGTATCTGTGGTACTATAAAGGACACAGAAATAATTCTAGAACACCTATTTCCCCGAGCTTAGCTCAACTTTAAATATTACTTGTTTTATTTAAGGTGAGCGAACTGACCCAGAACAGAATTCTCTCTGAATCTCAGAGCAGGAGGTCTAGGAAGAAAAGTTCATTTTCCATCTTAACGCTTTGCTCACTCCTGGGACGACCGTGGGCCCCTTCAGTTGGGACTA